GCAACCAACCAATATAGGTAATAATAAACAATTAATTCAAAGATCCATTTAAGAAAATCAAAGAAAATTACCAGTCAAGGTCGATAATTTTAATCTCCTTCTGTCTCTCCCTTCCTCCATTGCTATTTTTTCTTCGCAATAGAAGATTAATGCCTCTGTTCTCGACAAAGCAAAAACCCACGAACCACCACCGCAACCCATCTCCCCTTGCAATTATCATCTCCCTCTAAAAATAAAAAAACCCAACCGCCCAGAGCAATCCGCCATGGCAAGCCCAGCACCAACATAGCTATTGAACCAGTTACCAACAGAACCACCAAACCAAGGCATTGCCGTTAACGACGAAACGATCCAGCTGCCAGGAGCGGGAAAAAAAAAAGCACACGAAAAGCGACAGCTCCGACAAACTCAAGCGATCACAACAATCAACGCAACCAGCACCTCTAAATTCATCATCCACAAGCATGGCTTCCAATGCTTCGATTCTCATGTCCTGCTCCTTTCCATACTCTGCCAATTCATTTCATTCAACCAATCAGTTATTAAAACATAGATATTAGCATGCCACATCACTGCAACACATCACTCCTCCACTGGGGAGGAACTATCAACCAACCAGTATAGGTAATAATAAACAATTAATTCAAAGATCCATTTAAAAAAATCAAAGAAAATTACCAGTCAAGGTCGATAATTTTAATCTCCTTCTGTCTCTCCCTTCCTCCATTGCTATTTTTTCTTCGCAATAGAAGATTAATGCCTCTGTTCTCGACAAAGCAAAAACCCACGAACCACCACCGCAACCCATCTCCCCTTGCAATTATCATCTCCCTCTAAAAATAAAAAAACCCAACCGCCCAGAGCAATCCGCCATGGCAAGCCCAGCACCAACATAGCTATTGAACCAGTTACCAACAGAACCACCAAACCAAGGCATTGCCGTTAACGACGAAACGATCCAGCTGCCAGGAGCGGGAAAAAAAAAAGCACACGAAAAGCGACAGCTCCGACAAACTCAAGCGATCACAACAATCAACGCAACCGTCCAGGCCCACGCTACTAGTAACTCCACTGGCGGTGGAAGGCGAGCGAAAACAAAAGGGAAAGCAACGGAAGGAAGAAAGTGTGGATAGCGACGAGAAAAACCGCCATCGTAAGGGCGCAGAGGAGATTGAGATGGAGTTGGCACTGATCCGACACTCAACGCATCGCAGCACCGTGGGTTTGACATGGAGTCGGATATGCGATCGATTTAACAAAGAGTTTGGCTGTGACTGCTGTGCATGGTGAGTAATTGTTTTATCGACGACTTTCTTTTCGTTAAAGAGACTGTAAAAAGAAAGATTCTACAGCAAGCCCCAGCAAATAAAAAACTTATTTGCCAATAGCGAAACCCACTTTCACTAAGGAAAGTAAAAGAATTAAAGAAAACTGGTTCGTACATCACGTTAATAAAAAAAAATTAAAAAAAAAAGCCCACAATTCCTCATCTGCCTCGACGATTTTAATTTCACACCATCACGGCATCACACACACACACACACACACACACACACACACACACACACACACACACACACACACACATATATATATATATTATAAAATGGTCCAATCTTGAAATTTCCATTACAAAAAACAGATCACATATTTATCTGCAGCAATAAAGCAGATGTCAAAAACCATTAACAGTGTAGGCAAGTATCCATGCTGCGACAACATCTTACAACAGAGAATTAACAAACTTAATGTCAGATAACTCTTCATTGATTGCTACCTTGACGAGTAGGAAGCCTGCAATTAATAATGAAACAATATTGGAAGATTGTAAGAACCTCATTGGTATGAATCTTAACCGGGTTCAGCTTGTAATTACATCGTACTTACTTATTAATTTCTGGGCATGGAAGTGCATGGCTTTCAGAGTCCCTCCATTGGCTTGGAATCACCACCAACATTACACTCAGATTTCCAGGTGCAGCCGCGTCTCTTGAGAGTATAAATTATGATAGCAAGGAGGAGCAAGCCAAGACCAGCTCCTCCTTTAGCAGCTAAGGAGTAGCCTCCGCTGTCCGAGTGCTGTGCAGAGGGGTGCGGGTTGTAATCATCCATGACTCAAAACTACAAAAAGGAATAATTAATTAGAGAAAAAAATCAGTAATGTCTCAAGTGAGACTAGAAAGACATCGCATTGATAACATTACCAAATTTGAGGAAGAAACACAGGTGGGAGGGAGCTTTGATTTATGCCAGAAATTGTAGTACTTGAGTTCTCTTTTATGCCTAATATTTCCTTCCTATAAATAAATAAATAAGGCAAGAGAGAGAGATAGGGGCGAGGGAGATTCAGCATAGCTGTGGGACCACCTTTGAAGTTTGCAAGACCGTGTTTTTTTTTTTTGCATCAGAAGTTTAAAAGTAAGACTTTTACGAGGATTGAATTTTTTAAAAAAATTATGGCTCTGTTTCCTAGTTTTTCTTTTTATTTTATCAAGTGTGTGTTTAGCATTATGCTAATTTTTGTAATGTGGTTTTGTGAAAATTAATTTAATAAAATCACTATTAAATGCAATTTTAAACATGATTTTTTTAAAAAAAATATTTAATTAAAACAATTATAAATGAATTAAATGACTCCCGGACTGACTCCTGAAAAATAAAAAGATAATCTAAAATTTTGAATAAAATAAAAAAATTAACAAAAATATAATTTTGCAGCGGGGTTGTGACCAAGGTTGGTGTGACCATCTCAGATCACAACTGGTCTCACAGATGGCGCGATCCCGCTGCCAAAAAGACATATAGTAAAAGATACGGGATTTTCACTGTACACTAATTACTGTTTTTTTATTCTCTGACTATTTAACAAGTAATTAATTTTAAATTTTTATGGAAAAATAGGATTAAAAAATAAGATATAGAAATAAAAAAACATGATAAATATGGGTGACATGTCATAAATTTCAAGAATTTTTATTTTGATATAGAGTTCATTTTTGTTTTTTTTGTTATGATTAAGAGAAAAATCATTAGATGTAGACAAAAAAAAAACCTGTTATTCACATCTATTTAGATCACTAAAATAAAAAAAATTAAGCTAAATTATTTAATTTGATAAAAAAATTTATATTATATGTTTTTACACCTTAAATGTTTATGAATAAATAAATTTGAATTTAAATTGATTGTTTATTTTAGATTTAGTTTGGTTTTTGAGGTGTTTTGTTTTTTAAAAGTTGTGAATAAATTTGTTATGATTTGTAAAATATTTTATAAATATTTTGAATAAAAACAAGTTGTAAAATAGATTTTTGGTTTTTTAGCCATTAAAATAGACAAAATCCAGACAATATACAATGCATCATTTACAAAGACAAGCCATCATATTCGTCCTTTCACTGTTCATTGCGTCTTTTGGAAGAATAACAAACAGCTCACAAAACTGTCTTCGGTAGCCGGAAAAAAAAAGAAAAAACGCTCCATTTTTCTTTCCAATCTCCTAGTATCTATCCTAATTGGTCAAGTCCTACTACCTGACCAGATTTTTGGCCGGCGGTAACCAAGAACGCAACAAATCAAATTGATAATAGAAAAACCCACTAAATTGAATTAAAGAAAAAACCCACAATTCCTCTTCTGCTTTGACGATTTTAATTGAAGATATTAGTTTAATTCAAACACAAAATTCACACCATATATATAAATCAAACTGATAATAGAAAAATCAAACCACACGATCCAGCTTCCAGGATCAGGTTAAAACACAAGAACACGAAAAGCGACAACTCCAACAGGCTCAAGCTATCACAGAAGCCAACGCAACCGCAGTGGCAACGCCACTCCAAGGATAGAAAAGCCCACAATTCCTTATCTGCTTTGACGATTTTAATTAAAGATATTAGTTTAACTCCAACACAAAATTCACACCATCATTTATTTATATATAAAGTACAGAGTAAAATGGTCTGTTCTAAAATGAGAAAATGAACCAAATATTTATCTGCAATAATACAGTAGATATAACTAAAAACCAACTGTGGAGGCGCCCGAGTACTGAATGGATTGCTACCTCGGCGAAGAAGAAGACCTGCAATTATACTGTTCCTAATCATGTCCACTTGTATCCATTTAACTTAATATATATATATATATATATATATATGAATAAGGAGATGTACGTATGCCTAACAATATTTTTATTATTGTACTGTTCCTAATCATGTCCACTTGTATCCATTTAACTTAATATATATATATATATATATATATATGAATAAGGAGATGTACGTATGCCTAACAATATTTTTATTAAAAGAAAAGGAATGGAGTTATTATGCCAACACACAAACAATTCATGATTTTAATGTTCTAATATATAGATTTGAAGTTTAGACAATACTTTTTGGTTTTATGATTAATGAATAAAGATTTAGATTTTTTTAAAAGTCATGTTTGTTTATTGGACAATAATTTTTTTTAAAATGAATTTCGGTAAAGTGAATTACTTTCTAATATTTGATAGTGTAGTGAAAAATAAATTGAAAAACAGTTTCCAGTGTTTGGTTATGTCATGAAAAATGAGTTGGAAAATAACTTATTAATATTTTATTTTTCTCAAGTTTATTAAAATAATAAGGAATAAATCTTACAAATTAAATATTTGAATGAGAATGAAATTGAAAAAAAAAATATAATTTCATAAATTATCTTAAATAAAATAAATAATAATCAAAATAATAGAGATAAAATCTAAAAAAAATAAAATAAAAGATGAAGAAATTAAAATAATAATAATCAATATTTCATAAATTATTTCAAATAAAATAAGTAACAATCAAAAGAATGAGGATCAAATTTAAAAATTTCAATAAAAAATGATAAGGAAAAAGCAAATAGAAATTCTAAAAATAAAGACCAAAGTTAATATAAAAATTAAATTTTAAGAGATGAAATTGAAAAATAGATATACAAATATATATATATATATAGCAATCAAAAGTTTAAGGAACAAATTTGATATAATAAGCAAATAATGATATTTCTAAATTTTTCACAACTTCCGGAAAGTGTTTTTTATCCAAATTTTTCAGGAAAACACTTTCTTGAAAACCAAGCCAAATTTTTCTTTAACTGGAAAGTGTTTTCTATTGACTAACTTTCCTAACGAAAAATAAACACAATAAAGTTTAGAAAGTGATTTTCTGAAAATCACTTTCTGAAAAACAAACACAGCAAAAAATGAAAACATTTTTCTAAAAATCAAACTAAATTTTTCTTTAACTGAAAAGTATTTTTTATTAACCGAAAAATGTTATCTATTAACCAACTTTTCTAATAGAAAACAAACACAAGAAAGTTTGGAAAGTGATTTTCCAGAAATTACTTTCTAGAAAAGAAACATGTCCTAAGCTTAAATTCATTTTTTGTTAAATTAATAATAAGAAAAAAACAAGATCGCATACTTGTTAGATATATCTATATGGTGACCAAGTCTAAATTGGCCTTTACATATCTCTTGATGAAAAAATTATAATTTCAAAAGGTGGATCTCATGAATTAATTATTCATGTAGATAGAATTAATTAAACTAGTTTAATTAATCTGTAGATAGAATTAATGTTGATTTAAAAAGTTTTAATTAATTAATTAAACCAGACATCGATCAAATTTCCTCTATTTTTTAATTAATTATATGATTAAATTCTAATACTGACAACTTTTTAATTAATTTTTTTTATTAATGTAAGTATTCAGGTTAACTTGCGTGCATCTTAACTAATCTCATAAATTTTAAAATTAACGATTGTATAAATCTTTAATTGTCATAAGAGGATTCATACTTATGACCATTAACCATTAAAGAAAAAAAATTTAAGACCTAATTAATTTAACTATCTCTTAAGGTTAATTAATTTTTTTAATTAATAATATACATAGTCTTTTATAAATATAATTATTATTTTCATGTAGATTTATCTTTTGAAATGTCATAAAATAAGATAATAAGATGATATAGTTCATATTTTTTTAATGACGAATATAAAATTTAATAGAAAAAGAAAGAGAAGAGAAAAAGAAAAAGAATGGATAGTGGATGACAAGCTATCATTGTAAATACCATATACATTGTTCCTGCGTGAAAGAAGGTATTGTAGAGCTTCAAATGGTCGTAGTGGAAGATAAAAAAAAAAAAAAAAATTAAAGTTGAATCTATTATTTTTTAAAATAATAATAAATAAATAAATATTTAAATAAAATTTTATTTATCAAATAAAACTTATTAACAAAAAAAAAAACAATTAATTTCATCAAAAACAATTGTCATTAGTCAATTTTCTCTCTCCTATCCGTTTCTCAACAATTCCTTCCTCTCTCAAATCCAATAACTAAAGAATAAAAAGAATAAGATTTTAGGCCAAAATATTTAATTAAAAAAACTGAAGGGACCACATGTTTTTTTTATGACATATTAAATGAATAAAAAAAAGATACATTTGAACATTGAGATAAAAAGAAAAACCATTAATATTTTTTATAATATCAAATTAGATCTCTAAATTTATAATTTTTTTAATCCACATAATAAAATTATTATTTTTTAAATTAAACACCAATCAAATGTTGATATGTTTCTTTGATACCAAAAAAAACTATATAGAAAACAATTAAAATAAAATAAATGATGAGCTTGAATTTTAATCCGGGGAAGAGAAAAAACACAGCACCATGATGAATAGCCAGCCAACCTAACCTATGGAGACATTGATATCTTGAAGCGATGGTTAGAAGTATGAAGGTCATTCTCGCTAGAATGAATTTCTGCCATTGCATATCATTGGTTTGTTTACTTTGAAAAAATCAAAAAGAAAGAAAGGGAGGAGCACCTCTATATTCATCATCCATAAGCATGGCTTCCGATGGAAACGCTATTGGATGGCAGTCAATTCGTCCGTCGGGTAGCAGATGCTCGTGAAAAGAACCGGATTAAAATATAGTTATTCTTTATTTGTGAAAGGATAAAAATACAAATTAATATAAACTCTCCCTTCGGGCACTCCTAAAATTACAATTAAAAATTAAGACAAGCATCTTAACTTAATATAAACTTCTCATGCAACACAGATCGCATAAGAAAATTAATATACATTATTAAGCCATACAAATATAGTGTATTTTCTTTAATAGATTTTGAGTTTTCTGACACACATTTAAAAATACAAATTAATACTATTAAAAATTCTGTTAAACTAAACAATTTCATTATCAAGAGGAGGCACGCTGGCTTGTTAGATATATCTATGTGGTGGCTAATATAAATCTATAAATACAAATAGATTTGAAGTTTAGACAATACTTGGTGGTTTTATGATTAATGAATAAAGATTTAGATTTATTTAAGTTTAAATTCATTTTTTGTTAAATTAATAAATAAAAAAAACAAACAAAATCGCTTACTTGTTAGATATATGCATGCGATGACTAAGTTGATACATCAACATCACCCATGAAGTTACTTTTCCTTGTCTCTTCTCTTGTTGATTAAACTAATTTAATTAATCTACAGATAGAATTAATGTTAATTTCAAAAGGTTTAATTAATTAAACTAGGTATCAACTAAATTTCCTCTCTTTTAACTAATTATATGGTCAAATTCTAAGACTGACAAATTTTTAATTAATTTTATTTTATTAATATGAATATTTGAAATAACTTGTATATATATCGATTAATTTTATGTATCCTAAAGTTAAAAATCATATAAACCTCTAGTGCCCTTAAAAGAACTAAAACTCATGATTATTAAAAAGTAAATCCAAAATTTGATTAGTTGAGTTATCTCTTAGGGTTAATTATTTTTTTAATAAATAATATACATACTCTCTTAGATAATTATTATTTTCATATAGATTCACTTTTGAAAATGTCATAAAATAAGATGACATGGTTTATATTTTTTTTAATGGCCAACACAAAATTTAATGGGGAAAGGAGAGAGAAAATAAAAATAACAAATGGATGGCAGATCAAAAATCATCATTGTAAACATCACACACATCATCTCTCATAAAAAAAAAAAAAATATGAAGCTTCAAATATCACAATGTAAGATAAAAGAGATTTTTTTCAAGTTTGATCTATTTTTTTTTAAAAAAATTATTTAAATAAAATTTTTATCACCAAACAAAATTTACTAACATAAAAAAAACTAATTTCATCATCGAAAAATATCATTAATCAATTTCTCTCTCCTATCCGTTTTTCAACAACTCAATCGCCTCTTAAATCCAATGACTAAAGAAGAATAAGATTTCAGGCCAAAATATTCAATTAAAGAACTGAAGGGAACACATGTTGGACCACATGTTTTTTTGATGAAATATTAAATGAATAAAAAAATCCATTATTAACATTGAGATAAAAAAAAAACCATTATTTTTTCTATAATATAAAGAAAAAAAATTAATATTTATCATAATATCAAATTAGATCCCTAAATTTATAATTTGTTTAATCAGCATAATCAATTTTTTTTAAAAAAAAATTAAAGACTAATTAAATATTGATATGTTTATTTAATAACCAAGAATCCTATGGAAAACAACTAAATAAATTATGAGCTTGAAATTCCATATAATGCATTTTTTTAAGACTAATTTACAAAAATATATTGGTGATTCAAACAAAAAGTTTCTAAAGGACGCAAGAAATTCAGCATTGTTTCGGTGAACAAGGCAGGCAATGCAATGTGAGGTAGTTCATAATAATGTTTTTTCCATGAGTTTTAGTGTTTTTTTTTTAATTGTAATTTTACCTTTTAATTTATTATATATATATATATATTTAATACATAGTTATTAAATTTATCTTTTTTAGCATTTTTCTTTCTTCAAATTTCCCTTCTCAATATTCGTCACTCTACGAAGGCAACCCACCCCGACTTCTGCCTTTCACTGACTATTGTATCGTGTGGAAGAATAGCATGTCAAAACACAGGAAAGTTTGTGGAAGTAACTAAAAAACTGGAAACTGGCGTCATTTGTGTTTTTTTTCCAATCCACGTAAGGCACCAACTTGTTCCTTTCAATGAATGCTTCATTGCCGGTGCAGTGGGTTTTGGCGGCATGCAACTCTGAGTTGCGAGGTCTATCTCGGGCTGCAAGCAGACGTTTCATATGAAAAAAAAAGGAAGAAGAAAATAAAGCCAAAAAAGTGAAACTAAGAAGAGGAACTTCAAATGAAAGAATTGTAACTCATGGTTTTATAATATCCAATCAAGTTAAGGTCGTAGAAATTGTTAAATATTTGCTATTCAAAATTTTCACGATAATATTAGACAACTAAATTGATTTTATCAAAATGAGAGAGAGAGAGAGATGTTTTATTTTCTTTGCAAAACAGACTGTTATTGGACTTTGATTATATTTTTTTAAAAGCTAGGCTTGGCTGGCAGCACACATTTTCCTTGTAAAAACAAGACCTTTACATAGCTAAATTAGCAAATTATGAAAGAAAAAAATAATGTATGAAAGAAGAAGAATCAAAATGCAGGAAAATGTTCCTTTAGGGTATTAATTGTGTGTGTAAACATGTTGTTCATTTGTCTCCGTATCGTTTTTATATCGTTTTCCTTTCCTCTTAGGCATTGACCAAATATATTCGCTGCCTATTGAGATTTTGCACTCCTATGTCAATATATTTTTTTGTAAAAAATGTTAGATCGGACACTCACACGTTAGATCGGTCCACAGAATAGAAAAGGAAGGAAATTGGAAAAGTTTCAAACAATGATTAAAGTTTCAAACCTCTCAACCAGGGCGAAATCAAAAAATAAAATTAAAGAGGGTCAAAATATTAATTCCCCCCAGCATATAGGGGAAGCAAGAAGAAAACAAGAGTAACTATAACTTAGACAATTGTAAGAGGGTAAATATGTTAGAATCAAATATAAAGTTACATGTAAGATCCCATAAAACACGATTGTTTTCCTTTAATGAATGGAGTCGATTTTAATAAAAATTGTGGTTATTATCCAAAAAATAAAACTTAGCGGTGACCAGGATAAATCATATATACATTAATGGCAAAAAATTGTCTTGATAAAAAAATTATAATTTTATAGATTTAAAGTTTAAACAATATCTTATGATTTTATAGTTAATAAATAAGGATTTGTTTTTTAAAATTTAAATTTTTTATTAAATTGATAAAAAAATCAAATAGATAAAAAAACATACTTTTTTTAGAATTAGTGCATATTTGTTGGACATCCACTAGATGAAAAAACCAGGACAAGAGCTGATTACCTTGTTGTTTAAAACATACGTTTTTTTAGAATTATATTTAAAAGTGATTTTTTAAAATTGATTTTTTTTTAAACCACATAATGTTAAATACACAACAAATTAAAATATTGTATTTTGGTAAATTTTTAAATCCAATCCTCATAAAAGTCTTACTTTAAACTCTTGAGGTAAAAAAGAAACACGGTCTTACAAACTCCTTCTTTGATCTATATATTCTAAGAAGACAGCGGTGAAATGACCAAATTCAATAAGTATTTAAAACACCCAAGCCAAGAAAATGAAGCCATGAATGGGTCTTTTAGGTAAAAAAAAGCTTGCTAAAACCAAGGTGACGTGAAAGTAGAGCATATATAATATGAAGTGGTTGATCAACAGTGTCGCACTCATGCCACGATGTGGTAATTGTTTTTCATTTTAAGGTGTTACTATCAATCTAAAAAATATGGAAAACAAGAAATTTTTATTTTTATTAATGAAAAAATAGAATGAAATTCATCATCTAGAATTTTAATTATTAAAAACCCTAATTAGTCTTAGAGATCTAGTAAGAGGACTAATTATATAAAGAGAATATATTAAGACCCTAAATACGTCCTACTTAAGATAAGTTGTATTGTTTAATTGTTTGATATATACTAAGATTTTATTGTATTTTTAGTTATTGGTCTATCTACAGTTTAAGAAAAATCTTTCTCAGTAAAAAGGTCCTTATCTTATTGGATAAAAAACCTAACCGTCCTATGACAACCAAAGAAACTAATTTTAATATTAGGAGTACGTCTTATGTGTAAGTTTGTAATCCCAGATATTAAAAGAAAACAAAATAATTTTTAAAATTTTTGAAATATTGGCCTAGTTCTTGTGACTTTAATAAACTGGTTGTTAAAGTCAAAATATATGCTAATACATATTCTTGTAACTTTTATTTTTAGCGGAAATCACTTTCTGAAAATTGTGAAAAAATATAAAAATATCATATTATTTAATGATTATATCAAATTTAGTCTTTGAACTTTTGATTGCTATATATATTTTGTTTTGAATATTTGTTTTTCAATTTCATCCATTATAATTTAATTTTTATGTTAATACTTTGCTTGTTAAATGACTAATCTTGATTTATGTTGTATAACACTTGGTACAACAAATGCTTGGCACTTTCATAGCCCATAATGTATGGTACAACCGACACCTGAGCTATGAAAGGAACTTGACTTGTTGTTAACATAAGTTATAATCATGAATGCTTGACGAGATTTACAAGTACTAGCATTAATCGAATAAGATGACTAATGTAATCATGTTAACAATATATAATCTGATTGGAACCTCCTTTGTGTGTGGTTTCCAATTCAATAATAAGAGTTTATACTATACTTGTTTGATATACCATTAGTGGAACCTCTAACCTTGACATTTGTTATTATCATTGTTTAATCGTTACATTAATATTCCATCTCAAAGTTCTCATCTTCTTCTTCTTCTCTTTCTTTATTATTATTATTATTATTATTATTATTATTATTATTATTACCCGGTCTTACCGGGTTATAA